AAAAAAAAAAACCCCCCCTAAAAACCCCAAAGGGGAAAAAAAATACCCCCCCAAAAACCCCCCAAAGGGGAAAAAGAAAGGGGCGCCCAGAGGGGGGGCCCCCAAAAAAAAACCCTTCAAAGGGATAAAAACCCCCCTGGGGGGCAAAAAAAAAGCTTTCCCCAAAAGGGGGGCCCCCGGGAAAAGGGCCCCCCTCCCCCCCCCCCTTTTAAGCCCCCCCCCCCCCCCCTTTTAACCCCCCTTCCCTTTTCACCCTCCCATTACCACCTCCCCCCCCCCCCCCTTCCCCCCCCCACACACCCAAATACCCCCCCCCCCCTCACCCCGGCCTCCCCCCGGCCTCAGGTATGCTGCGGCGGTCGCGGCTGCGGCCGCCGCGCCGCCCACCACCCCGGCTGGCCAGGCGGCGACCGCCGCAGACCGCCAGCCTGCCAATGCCTCGGCGGTGGCGGCCAATGCTTCGGCGGTTGCGGCCAATGCCTCGGCGGCGGCGGTTGGTGCGGCGGGTGCGGCGGCGGATGTGTCGGGGCGTGCAGCGGCGCTTTGGCTGAGCTCTGCGAACGCGACGGCGCCGGCTGCACAGGCGACGGCGTCGGCAGCAGAGGCGACCGCGTCGGCAGCAGAGGCGACGGTGCCGGCAGCAGAGGCGACGGCGCCGACGGCAAACGTGACTGCCTCGATCGCGAGCGCGGCGTCGGATGCGACGGTGGCACCGAACGCGACGGCAGTTCCGAACGCGACGGCAGTTCCGAACGCGACGGCAGTTCCGAACGCGACGGCGGTTCCGGATTCGTCAGCAAGCGCTCCGGCGGCGGACATGCCGGCGGTGGGTGCGGGGGCGGCGGGGGCGGCAAATGCGTCCGGCGCCGCTGCTGCAGAGCGGCCGCGTTTCTCCGAGACGGAGCTGTCGCTGCTGCGGCGAGAGATAGCCGAGATCTAGCCGAGATCTAGCCGAGATCTAGCCGAGATCTTGCCGAGATCTAGCCGAGATCTAGCGGAGATCTTGCCGAGATGGTGCTCTCTCGCAGCTGCGGCGTGATCGCGGCTCAAAGCGGGCTGGCCGACGGCGCCGCCATCTTGAGTCGTCTGGTTTTCTTTTTTTAGGCGCGTCGCGGCACAGCAGGCGCCCGCCGACGCTCTCGCCATCCCGGGAGACAACGGCACGGCGGCGGCGGCGGCGGCGGCGGCGGCGCTGATTCCGGGGGCGGCGGTGGTAGTGGCGGAGGCGGGGGATGCTGCGCCGGTGGCGGCTGGAGTGACAAACAGGACGGCGGCCGCGGCTCCAGGTTTTGGCGTGGCGGCTGCAGCGTCGCCGAACGCCACAGCAGGAGCAGCAACAGGAGCAGCAGCAGCAGCAGCAGCAGCAGCAGCAGCAGCAGCAGCAGCAGAAGCAGCGCCGAACACGACGGCGGCGGCGGCGGCGGCGGCAGGACCAGAAGCAGCCGCAGCCCGAGAGGGAGGAGGAGGAGCAGCAGCAGCAGAGCCCAGCGCAGCCGCCGCGACGGCGGCGGCCAATCGCTCTGCGGCGGCGGCGAATGCGTCCGCCGCGTCGGCAGCCGCGGCAGCGGGGGCGGGGGCGGCGGTGGCGGGGGCGGGGGCGGCGGCGGCGGGGGCGGCGGAGCCGGCGGCGGCGGGGGCGGCCGGGGTGACGGCGGAAAAGGCGGCGGCGGCGGCAAAGCCGGCGACGGCGGCAAAGGCTGCGGCGGCGGCGAAGCTTGCGGCGGCGGCGGCGGCGGGGGAGGAGCGGGCGAGGAGCACGCCTTCGCACCTCGAGGTGGCGGCGGCGCCGCCGAGGGCACTAGGGGCCGCCGCAGCGGCAGGGACTGCCGGCGCTGCCGGCGCCGCGGACGGCGCGAGCTTTCGGGGCGCGGCGCCGTTTGCTGCCGCGCGGGCGGCGAGATGTACCCGAGATGTAGCCGAGATGTAGCCGAGATGTAGCCGAGATGTAGCCGAGATGTAGTCGAGATGTACCCAGATGTAGCCGAGATGTAGCCGAGATGTAGCCGAGATGTAGCCGAGATGTAGCCGAGATGTAGCCGAGATGGTTTGCTGCCGCGCGGGCGGCGGCCCAGCCGGTGACGCCGCTCCAGGCGAGCAGATGCTCCCCCCTCCCCCCTCCCCCTTTCTCTTCCTGAGGCGCGCGGTCCTTTCTTTTCTTTAGGCGGCGGCGCGCCGCCCAGCCGCCGGCCCAAAGGCGACCCCTTCGGCTCCGGCGCGCGACGCGACACCGCGGAGCCGCCGCCCAGCCGCCCGCCGCCCAGCCGCCGGGAGGCATGCCCCAGCCGCTGTGGGCGGCGCGACGGCCCCGTCGGCCGCCACGGGGGCAACGCCCCGCCCCGCTCCCCTCCCGGGCAAGCGCCGAAAGCAGCACCGCCCGGGTGCGCCTCGGGCCGGTGGCGTAGCGGACACGCAGAGATTTGCGCCCCCGGCCCCTCCTCCTCCTCCGCAGTGACCTCACCCCCCCGCCCCCCTCTTCCCCTCCCGCAGGCAAGTCTCAGCCGTCGCGCAGCGGCGACGGCGGCAGTGTGTACCGGGTGCTGTAGCCGCGTACAAGGGCTCGCTACAGCACCCGACTCGGTGTGTGTGATTGAGTGTTTCTCTCGCGACGGTGATGGAGATAGAGAGGGGGCGTGGAGTCTGGCGAGGAGCGGCCTCGGTCGGGTCTGGCGTCCGGGGCGAGAGTGCGGGTTGACGGATCGCGGCGAGCAACGTACAGGTATGTGTGAGCGAAAAGCAAGACGACTGCTGCGCAAACTCGCTCCGAAGACATGGCCGGGGCTGGCGGCAGGGGCACACACGTGAGCGACAGCGAGGGGCGAGACACTGCGTGACCCGCATGCAAGCGCCGACGACGCGCACCGTCTCGGCCAGTAAGAGACAAATTGTAACACATTTTCGCACAGCGAGCAGTTTGCGACGGGATTTCGCCAGAGGCGCCGGCGCTGGAGGAGATTTGGAGCATGGCCGGTGAGGGCTGCCGTAGGAAGCCCGCCGACGGCTGACAATGGATAAACGGATAACAAACGCGCTTCTCCGTCGCAAGCGCGGCGGACACGCAGCTGCGGAACATGGAGCTAGCGCCACGCCGAGCTGCGGCCCGAGGAGTCGAATGACTGCTCCCGCAAGCACGCCCGGCGGTCCGGCGGACGTTCAATTGCTCGCTCGCCACGAACGATTGCGCGGCAGTGGTCGAGCGGCGAGGAGCCAGAGTCAGCGCCTTTTTAAGCCGCGTGTGGCGAGGGCGTGTTCTGCGCGCTGAGTGAGCGTCGCGCGACGACACAAGCGAGCCACAAGCGAGCCACAAGCGAGCTGGCGAGGTCTCGGACCTCCCCGAGCGTAACGTCACGGCTTGGTCTTTCATACTTACCTGGATGGGTAGTTCCTGCGATCAAGCAGACAGGACTACGTTCCTCGGGTGCACCCTTGCACGATCGGTCGCTGCCAAGGAGCAGGGCCCTTCACAGAGGGGTACCTACATCACAATATATTCGAGCGGTGTTAGCAGCTTGCTGCCTACACCTTTGTAAATTTGCCTCTACTATTCACAATCAGCACCCTGTAGTATGAACCCCGCGCGTGTAGCCCGGTCATTTTCGGAAGTGAATATGGGGGCATTTTGACGATGAAATAAGAATCTAATGCCCGAGAGAAACACATAGACACCCACATGGTTGACCAACCCTTACTAGGTGAGCGTCAGTGTTCACATTCACACCCAACAGACCGGCTCCAGCACACACGTACGAGCGTGTCTCAGCGCACACAGCGGCATCCTCCGCGCCTAGGCCTCCATAGCGTCCTCGCCCTCGCCCTCCTCGCCCTCCTCGTCATCGTCCTCCTCCTCCGCCTCGAGCGCCGCCTCGTAGTCAGCGACAAAGTCGACCTCCCCGCACGGCACCTGGTCCTCCTCCTCCCACGTCGCGATCTCCGGGGGCCAGCCCTCCCACAGCACCTTGTAGAGCACCGTCCCCGCCGCGATCTCCTCCCCCTCCCGCCCCGGCACGTCCCCGCCGTCGGCAACCATCTTGCCAATCAGCCGCTCGATGACGAACTCGTCCGTCGGGTCCCACCCCCAGTCGTTGAGATAGACCCAGCCGCGCTTCCGCTTCGCCTTCTTCTTCTTGGCCCCGCCGCCGACGACCGTCTCGCGGCACCCCTTGCGGCGCAGCCCGTCCGACTCGCGCCCGTCGGTCCCCGCGTCACCCTCCGCGAGGTCATTGCAGCCGAGCCCGAACTTTTCGAAGATCAGCGTGGCCGGACAATAACATGGTGACGGAGAGCGACGGCGAGGCAGCGAGCTCGGGGCTGTACATCCACACTCCAAGTTGGCCAAAGTACAGGTTTCGATCCGGGCCACCGCAAATTTTGATCAGCAAATTTCGAGGGGCGGCCGCAAATTTTGAGGTAGATTTTGATTGTCAAAACGTGTCCGTCTTGGCACAGGATAGAGCATATAGGCGGCGAACACCCAGGTGCGCAGACATCGCGACTCTGCCCGCTCGCTCGACCCTTTTGCCGCGAGAGGGCGCCGGCCGCGTGTAAGAGGTAGCTGGCGCCCTGAGGCGGCATTTGGTGGCGTGGGCAGTGCGGAACGCTACTGGCGGCGTGACAGGGCCTCTCTTGGTTGCGTGTGCCGCCCATCGGCACGCGGGTGCGCAGACATCGCGACTCTGCCTGCCCACCGAATGCATAATGTATGCAACGAAATGCAATCACGCGCAAAATGCAACGAATGCAAATATTGCATAATGCAACGAAATGCAATCACGCGCAAAATGCAACGAATGCAAATATTGCATAATGCAACGAAATGCAATCACGCGCAAAATGCAGGAAATGCACCAGGCGGGAAAGAGATGAGGAGATGGGACAGCAAAGGAGGAGCCCACGTATGGGAGGGTTCAGTTGTGCGCCACGCTGCCCGGCGTTTCTCACTTTCCGGGACAGCCCCGCCCTTTCGAGGCAGGAAAGTGACGGCTACCCCGTACGCCCTGTCGCTTCTACCCCGACGCCGACCGCCCATTCCCCCCTCCTCGTTCCTTCGAATTCTCCGGACCCCGACAAGCCGCCCGACGTTGGGCCTCTGCCCCGCACGCCCCCGCCCCTTCTGCCCCTCGCTCACACCCCGGCCCGACACGCACATACAAGACAAACCCGGCGTCCTGCTCTCAAAAGAAAAGAAAAATGGCAAGGAGGAGACCAGCGGGGGAGACTCCCCGCCTATGCAACACCCCAGAGAGGGGCTGCCATCGCCGAAGCTGTGCCTAAGCATAACTCCCAAACCCGCAGCGGCCCGGGGGGCCTTGGGGGCAGCCTGCCGGACCGCTGTTGCACGGGGCTAAGCACCAGAAGGGGGATGGGCTATCGTCCGTGCTTCCCCTCTTTTCGTCAGAGTGGGACCTACGCCGCGCCGGGTAAGGGGCGCGCCCGGTCCTCGACGGAGCCGCGCGCCCCGAACGACCCAGGCGGCGAGTAGTCGTCGTCGAACCTTCGGCATGTAGTCGCCCGTGGTTAGCGCCCTTCCTCCCTCGCCCGTCCCTACTCGTATTGCACTCGAGGCGCCCGCGGCATCTCGCCGCCCATTTTCGGCCACGCGTTGTAGTCGAAGATGGCGGCGTTGCGCCTCGCGATGATCATGGTCGAGTGCACTTGCAGGAAGCGCTTGCGCTCGCTGCTGACCCGCCATCGTTCGCTGTCGGAGGATGCTTTAGCAGCCTTGATGTCGAAGTTGGAGTTGAACCACGTCGCGCTGCCTCGTGCCCGATGCCGCCGCGCGTGCTCGCCGCCCACGTCATGAAGTCGCAGTTCTTGGCGTCGCACGCCGCTGCCTTGGCCCTCCTCTTCGTCGCCTCGGCGTAGTCGGTGGCAAGGTGCGTGCCGTTCAGGCGTAGATCTTAGCTAGGTGAAACACACGCTAACTAAGGACAGGGTCGGACTGAGTGCTAGTCGAGACCTTCGTCTTTTTTCGACAGCGGCGTTGTGTGATAGATGTCCACGGCCGTCTTGACTGGCTGGACGCCTTTGGGCCGTAAAAGCCTCGCGGTCCACGTGAATCCGCGGCACGCGGAGCGGCGGCTCGCGGCCGTGCTCGCGCGGTCCACGGCGCCAAGAGTGACCGCCGTGCTGGGCCGCTCTCAGGGAAGCGTGCAAGTGGAGCTCTCCGGCGTTTGGGGTGAGAATGTGAGCTGCTCCATACCCGAGGCGAACCTCCCTGCCGGCTCCTGCCTCCTCCAGGATCAAGGCGCCGACAAATGCCTCGAGGTGGCCGAAGCTGCGCCGGAGCGCGACGACGCCGCAGAAGGCGATGCGGGCGATGCGGCGGGCGACGCGGTGGCGGGAGCGAACGGGCGCTCGGCCACCGCCGCGCTCGAGCGACAGCTTGCCCAGCTCGAGGAGGAGGAGCTGTTCGGGGAGCGCTGCGATCCGCGCCGCCGCGCCGCCTTCTTGACCTTTGGAGAGCCGCCCGCCGAGGCCATCGGCGAGCCGGGTCTGGCGCGATTAGATGCGGAGCCCGGATCCCCGTGTTCCACACCACTCGAGCCACACTCGAGAGGACACGCATTCAGCCGAGCCACACTCGAGAGGACACGCATTCAGCCGTGCTCCCTGATTGCGCAGCCCGCGTGCTCATCTGTGACTGCACACGGCGCGAACACGTCTCACGACCCGGCGTGTGTTCGCGGCGCAGGTCTGGCGCCCGCCTGCGATCCGCCGCCCGAATTGGCGGGCCTATGGGCCAAGCCCGGCGTCAGCTGCATCACGCGCGACATGCTCGACGGGTACGACCGGCCGCGGCACGCCGACTGCTTTGCGTGGCTCGCGGACCGGCCCCGCTCGGTACGCCTCATGCTCTACGCGCAGCTCATCGAGCGCATCGTCGAGGTCGACATCTATGCACACCTCCGCGACGACGAGACCCTCGAGGCGCGGCTGCCGGCGGACGAGGCGGCCGCTCTCCACTTGCACCGGCGGATGGTCGTCGAGCCAGTTTCCCTCCGCGCGGTGCTCGAGCGGTGGGGCGAGCTCACGTGGCGCGAGTGCAAGCAGCTGTGCGCGAGCACGTAGATCCACCCC